AGTGACTTGTAATTACTCCCAAAATTTTTTAAATTTCACATAATACCATATTATTGATTTTTAAACTTCAATTCCATAATAGTGAATAGGGTGAGAGATTCTTACCTAAATCAATATCTGAAATACCGTACTGTCTACCGCGCCTCCTGATAGTCTCCGAAATTTCTGAATTTTCTAATAGAGATTAAACATGCTCCACGTACCTAAAAAAATACATCAAAAACCTAAAATCAGTGTTAAAAATACCTTCCAACCAATTTTGAAATTTCGACAAGGCGGCGGGTTTCATCGATCTGGTTGTTTTCGGCTGGTTTAGGCCGGTTTCGGCTGACTTTACACATAACCTGCAAAAAAATACGTTAGAGAGTCTCGGTTGGTCGAAAAAATCTGAAAACCAAAACCTATTGGTGGTGGGGTTTTCGGGTGCGGCGACTCCGCCGGCTCTTCTTTGCGGTTGGGATTCCCCCTTCGATCAACCTACAGAAAATAGAACGGTGAACACAACAATAAAAAAATCGCACGAAACATGAACCGAAAAGGGGCTCATTGGAGGGGGTTACGGGTTTTGGGCCGCGATGGCTCCACTGGACTTTACCCGCGTATTTCGGCTCACTTGCCTTTGCTCCGATATAGCCACAGGGGTCCTCGGAATTAAATTCCAAATGGGTAGGAGAATATTTACCTTTTTTGGTGGTTGGTGGTCGACGGTCGACTCCTTCTCCGACATTTGGTTCTTTTTCTCCAGCCGGGGGGAGAGGGAGAGGGGTTGGCAGTTAGGGTTCGAGTTCTGTGTGATGCGAAATATTTATATCAATCCCGCATTAATCTGAACAATCTATCACGATCGATCTTGATCGTTCGATCGCGCCTAAGGGGGAAATGAATCTGAACCATTTATTGCGTTTGATTTCGACTGTTCGATTGGACTTAAGAAAAAAATAAATTTGAACCATTCATCGCGTTTGATCTCTACTATTCGATCGCGCCTAAGGGAGAAACAGATCTGGACCGTCCACGCGCATGGGATCAATCTTAAGCCATCCGATCGCGGGACACGCGGATTGCCAGCGTGACCTCCCGCGTGCTGTCGACGTCAGCGGGGCTGGTCACGTGACGCACTCCAGTTTGTCGAGGCTGCTGACTGGGCAGCCCTACATGACCGAACTTTCTCTATTTACACTTTGACCCTCTATTTTCAAACTCAAATTTTCACTCAATCTTCCTAAAATTATTTTCAATTTCGTTCATAATTCATTTTTTTCTCAAAAATTCAATCAAATTAAAATAAAATAAAAATTTTTAATTATTATATATATTCATAATCCGTAAAAATTATCCCGAGCCAATTTTCGGGCTCGGGTGTTACACAATTTAGTTTTTTTTGTGTTATTCTTTAGGAAGTTGCATGCTGGTTTGACAATATGTATCCATTTTCTAACCATGTAAATATCCATCATGTTGTCATCCAATTACTTTGCTAGTGTCCAACGAGTCTCCATTAAGGGAACTTTACAATCTTGTAGTTGTTGAGGTTTTGGGAAAAGTTGAAACCAATAACTATTATTTTGGAAAACATACAAGCAGCATGGTCCAAGTATAGAACATTGATTTAATAATAGAGTTCAAAGTTGATTACTTGAACTTTTCAATTCATATGTATGAATTCAAAGTTAATTATAATCTTTTCTCTTAAATCATAATTTTTTTGTAAGATAATTTAGTTTTTTTTTTTTGTTCTTCCCTAGAAGTTGCATTATACTAGTTTGACAATACGAATTCACTTTTCAGCCACGTGAATGTCCAATGTGTCGTCGTCCAATTACTTTGCTAGTTCCCAACGAGTCTTTATTAAGGGAGCATCACAATCCTACACTTATTGATGTTTTTGAGAAAAGTCGAAATCTTTATTAAGGGAGCATCACAATCCTACACTTATTGATGTTTTTGAGAAAAGTCGAAACATATAGCCGTTATTTTGAAGGATATACAAATAACTCGATTCATGTATAAAACATTGATTTAACAATAGAGTCCAATGTTGATTGCTTGAACTTTTCAATTCATATATATGAATTCCAAGTTAATTATAAACTTTGCTAAGATAATTTATATATTTTTTATTCTTTATGTTTGTTTGACAACATGGATTCACTTTCCAACCATATAAATATCCAATGTGTCGTCGTCTAAATACTTTGGTGGTTCCCAACAAGTTTTAATTAAGGAAGTGTTACAATCTTATAATTGCTGAGGTTTTAAAAAAATTTAAAATTTATAACCGTCATTTTGAGGAATTTACCAAAAACACGGTGCACATGTATATAATATTGATTTAACAATAAAAAGGTTGGATAAATGAATTTTTTATTTAATTTTTAAAAACTTAAATAATATCTAATTCATATTAAAAAGAATATTGGATATTTTATTCTGTCATGTATTACACACAAATTATTATTTGAAAAATGAACTATATGTAATTTATATTTAATGAAAAATTAAAATTTATTTATATTTTAAAAAACTTCAATGAATAACTATTATACATGTCAAGAGAATTATTTGTATTTAAAAATTATACAGTGCATAATTTTTAATTTTAAAATTAAAATTATTTTTATATTTAAAAAAAAAATTGAGTTTTATTCTCTATGTAGCATAATCAAAATGGTTTACTATAAATAAGTTAATTATTTTTAAAAAATTAATAACTAAGTCTAAATTAAGTTTTATTTTTATATCAAGTTTCAGGTTTTACTTATATATTATCCTTCCTAAAAAAAAAAAAAAAAAAAAACAATAATGAGTATAAATAAATTGAAAACGAAAAAAAATCTTGTTTTGTACCCGACAACGCAACATCCATTGGCTCGGACACGCACACCACAACTACCTCATCTATACATATGGCCATAAGCTAACTAATCGGTTTATTAAATTGAATTTTTAATTAATGATAATTCCAATTATTTAAAATGAACTGAAATTTGTACTTAATTCATTTAATATAATTTAAGGATAGATTTGATCTATAATCAAATTGTTTAACAAGGTTGGACCAATATAAAATATATAACATAAAATTACAACACATTACAGAAATGTATACTAATATAGCAAGCCTTTAGTTCATCTTCTACATGTTATAATAATATATAGATAAATGAATCCATATGTATATTTAGTTATTCGTAAATAAAAATAAAAAAGAATTAAATTGAATAGAATATTGGGATACCAGATAATAAAAAATAGTTTTTAGAGAGGGAATAAGGGTTTGATCCTCTTTTCTTTCTGGATGTTTTGTTCGTTTGTTTGGGATCATCAAACAATTTTTTATACACCCAAAAGCACATGCCAGCTTTTGGCTTTTTTTTTTTTTTATTTAACAAATTTTTTAAAATAGAGACTTTACTAAGTTGGAAAAAAGCAAAAAAGAAGAGGATCAAATATATATATATATATATATATATCTATAGATGCATTATTCCAGTAAAAGTCTTATATCACATTATGGAGCACTGAAACAGAGAGATATATGTGTGTTTGTATAACAAAATGGCAAGTGGTCAAAGATCCCACCTCATGCCCCTCTAGTTCTGATTTCTAATTATATAATTTGCCAACAGAAAATAATATTTATCTAATACTTGAAAGCTTAAAAATAATATCTTTTTATATCCCCTGAAAGGCATACATTTATATATATATATATATATATATGCTCAAACTGAACTTAGTAGAAAAAGAAATGTTACATTATCTTGATTCCTAAGCTAATCCAAACGGGAAGCTATTAAGCTAATTATCTAGAAGCTAATTATCATGAGTACAGAAGTAGGCACAAGCCTGGGTGGAAAGTTGCAAGCCCATTCTTTGGACAACTCCACTTAATAGTCTAATTTTACTGGGCCTCTGGGTCTAGTTTTTTTGTGGTAGGAACAAAATCGGCCCAGATATTTGTTATTTCTATACTTCTCGAAAGTTCATATGTAAGTACAAAATACAATACAACATATAGAGGATTTACACCATACAAGAAAGAAAAGGCAAAAGTAAGGCCGGTGGCTAGAAGAAAGCCACATAGCGATGCTGCATGAAAACGTGTCAACTCGCTTACTCCCAAAGTACTACGCGGCCATGCACCGTCTTCCTCCCGAAACTTCCCCACAAGGAAAAAGTACTTTTTAACTTTGTAATCTCCCATTTTTATCCGACCAAAAAACAGAAGATCTTCCTTTTGTACGGCCCAGAACAGAGGAAGAAACACTCAGACAGCAGGGAGAGAAGATGATGAATGTTGTTGGATTGTGTTTGGTACTCACTTCGCTTGTAGTATCAGGCGTTTTGTCACCTAACCCGCCAGCCTCGAAGAAGAATGGCCTAGTCAAGGAAGAGCACAGAATGATTGTCGTCGAGTATGACAAAGTCATTGAGCACCAGCACGATAATCACAAGCCCAAGCTCACAAAACAACTGTCTGCCATCTCAAGTTATGGCAAGCCCAGCGTTCCCAGTTTCCCAACCTATTGGGACATGCGCACTGGTTCTCCTGCAGACCTATTGTGCCATGCACTTGGTGTCTGCACGTCTAAGTTTGAAAGTAAGTTTGACAGAGCCAAACACGGCCTTAAATGGGCGAGGGAAAGCGTGGCAGAAAAAGCACATGAAATGAAAGAATCCACCAAAGAGTCTTTGGGTAAAGCAAAGAAGCGCGTGGAAGATTCAACCCAGTCTACCAAAGAATGTGCAGAAGGGTTTGTTGGTAAGGCAAAGGAGATAGTGGCACAAACCGCCCATGATGTCAAAGAAAGCGCTGGGGATTCTTGGGAGAAAGCAAAAGAGAGCGTGGAACAGAAAGCCCACGACGCCAAAGAAAGTGCCAAACAGTTCTTGGAGAAAGAAAAAGAGGGAGCGACTCAGAAAGTCCATGATGTGAAAGAAAGCGCTGGGGATTATTGGGGGAAAGCAAAAGAGAGCGTTGAACAAAAGGCTCACGACGCCAGTGAAAGAACCAACCAGTTTTTGGAGAAAGAAAAAGAGGAAGCGACGCAGAAAGTCCAGGATATGAAAGAAAGTGCTGAAGAAGCTTGGCGTAAAGCAGAAAAGAGCGTGGAACAGAAAGCGCACGAGGCTCAAGAAAGTGCCAAACAGTTTTTGGAGGAAGAAAAGGAGAAAGCGAGCCAGAAAGTCCATGATGTCAAAGAAAGTACGAAAGAGTTCTTGCACAGAGCAGCACAGAAAGCCGAGGATCTCAAAGAGAGCACCAAAAAACAGTTGGATGTTGCAAAAGGCAGAGAGAGAAGCACTGAGACTGTTGCCAAGGCAATAAGGCTTGACATAGCAGCGAATGCAACAAATGCAATCATATACGTCGTGAAGAAGACTAAAGATGAAGCAAGCAGGCTCATTGGCGGTGTTAGGTACTTGGGTTTTCGAGAGGTATCGAGTTCATTAAATGTGGCAGTAAATTTGCTGGGTTTCGCTACGGCTTATGGGATGTGCATATGGGTTACTTTTATTTCGAGCTATGTGTTACATATGGCGCTGCCTAGGCAGCAGTTGGGAGTCGTGCAGAGCAAGATATACCCGGTTTATTTTCAGGCTTTGGCTGCCAGTATTTCAGCGGCTTTGTTGGGGCATTTGCTGTGTCTAGGAAAGAAATGGATGTCGAACAAGGCAGAGATGTTACAGGGTTATAATCTATTGGCTTCGCTCTTGATGGTTTTCGCCAATGCTGTGTTTTTAGAGCCTCGGGCCAGCAAGGTATTTGCATTTTGCAATCCATTTTTATGTCTTGTTTTTGTTTTCTTTTTCCCTTTAAGAAAAAGGATGATTAAGGTTAGTTGGATTCTTCTTATGTTCTAGCAAATTCTTGTTCAATAGTCACATGTGTTATTATGTAAGCAACTCTTTTCATAATCAGCATAGCAATTTGAGGGTTATTAGTTCGGTTCTCGATCCATTTCTAGCTAACTATTAGAATTAGTTATAAAATAGAATTTCTACATTTTAGAGTTAGTTAGGATCAGTAGTCCATTATATAATTGAATCAATTTTACTTACATTTTCAATCACACTACGAGTTCATGTTACTAGCTTTAAAAAAGGGCATCATAAAACTGCCTAACTGGAATTAGAAAGAGGATTAGATCATTCTATTTTAACTTCCATCATATTTATATTGAATTTTTATTTATATTGGATTAAATTTTAAGTTAAACTCAATGTTAGTGTTTATATATGTACCTACAACATGATTGAAGATAGCAAGAATTAACTAGAAAATTCCAAGGAATTTCAGGATTGGGTGGAGACAGACTGTGCTTACTGTAGGAATTAGTTAGAAATGGAATTACACATTGAACTAAGAGTGACTTTAGATATCCTGTTCGAATTGTAGTTCATCTTGAACTCATGATATCTATAAAAAGAATAAAATAGTTTACTAAACTAGAGTTTGCTTCTCCATCTTTGTTAGTAATTCTTGATCTGGTTGAATCATTAGGCTCTTTTACTACCAAGCCTTATGATCTTATAGTAGCAAGAGTAGCTATTGCTAAACTCGTGGTTTATTTCCATGTGTTTGTTGGTAATTCTTGATTAGGTCGCGCCGATATTTATAGGATAGTTTAGTCCAGAATAAAACTATACATTACACTTAAGATTTCTTGAAAATAACATCTAAAAGGTCTTAGATAACACATTTAAGAATTTAATTGCGTCACACACCTAAAAAAATTGAGGTGTTAAAAGTATTTATTTAATAGTCTTTCATTAGAAAGTGAATCTACAATGAAATTTCTAATGCTTTCTAAGTAACTTTTCTTGAATAGAATTTAAGCTAAAAATACTAATACTAATAAGATTAGAAGATAATATTACTAATACATATAGGAAAACAAAATAATAATAAGAATAAAACCCTAAAGTTACGTAGGTATTTCGACTATCTTTTGGGCGTGTGGAAAGAAAGGAATAAAAAGGCATTTGAAGGGGTGGAATAGGATATTGATAATGTTAAAGCTAGATGGTATCAATTGTTTGATTATCTTTTTGATTGTTTGATTGACATGTAAATATCTTTTGTACGTGGGTTGGTATCCCCATGGTGCTTGTAATTGATGAATATATTATACTTTTTATTCCCAAAAAAAAAAAAATTCTCCCCAAGTTAGAGAAAGCTCATCTACGAGTTCTAAAGTGGCAAATGATTAATCTTCCAACTTCTCCATGAGAATTTGAAAGCTCATCTACGAGTTTTGAAGTGACAAATGATTGATCTTCGAGTTTCTCTCTGAGAATTTAATAAACTGTGTTCAGTCATTCCCTTCAATAGCATCATAATGGAAACACATAACTATTAAGGAGATATCAAATCCTTGTGAAATGATGGAAACAACACGTCGGTCAACTTCATGAAGATCACTAGATGTCCTCATTGGCCATGGTCTCCCCTTGCATTGAACTTCTGTATAATTGTTTTTAAGCAATAAAAGGTCTTGACTAACCTAAAACCCATACTCTTAGGAAAATACGATAGTTCTTCTCATTTCTCAAACTTCAATAAGCGCATGCCCTTTATCTTTTTCATTTGCCATAGATACTTTTGGAGGTTTATATTTACTCTCTTCTGTTGCCATAGGTTTTAAAGCTATATCCTTTTTGAGTATAATTGTCAGTTGTCCCATCATACTAAAAATGCTAGTTATGAAGCTAAGCTTGAACTAAAAGAATCTATATGAAAGATTACAGGAATTGCATGACAAAAGATTAAATCACTGCAGGTACTATAATAGTTAGAAACAAGACTTTACTAAGTTACTAAAATAGTTGAATTGTCTAGCTAACTGAGTCTGTGGGTCTCATTTGGTTGTAATTAAAAGGTTAAGTCAGTCAATCGTAGAGATTGAGACAAGAACTCTTGCGACAATCCTCACAACTAACGAGTTCCTTGTGAGTTCCTTGCCTTTATTTCTACAATGAACTAAGGTTTGTAAACTTGGAGAACGCATCAAATTTTCTTTCACTTTAGCTGTATATTTGTACTTAGTTATAGTCAAGAAAGACTTGTCAACTTCATCATCTGTAAGTGATGACTCATTATTTTCCCCATGATTTCATGTGTTTAAAATATTTCGTAGAACTATAGTGCAACTTTGGTGAAGATGATTGGAAAAATGAGAACGACAACCAAAAAATTTTGGGAACTTGAACCATTGAAATAGGTCCAAAAAAAGCTGAACCAGTCTGCATGAGAGGGTTTGGTCAAGTATTCATTTCAAAAAAGATAACCAAAACATAGATTTGCAATGTCTAATCGTGGGTCATGTGTGCAAGTGAGGCATGATTCTGTTTTCAATCACAACACAAAGATGGGATTATGTTAATCGACTTGACTAAAGGTGGGGGTTTGCATATTGAAGTTCAGTAGGAACACAACTGCACTGAAATATGGGACTATGAGAGGTGGTGGCTACTTGCCATGGCAAGTGACTGCTTTTATGAAGCTGTGTGGCAGGCTTTAAGAGTGCTTTGATCAATGGGCTTTGGTTCTAGTGGTAAGGGAGGGTGGTGTCACTTATTGCTTGGCGGTGGCTAGAACTGATTGCAGCTAGTTTGCAGTCTTAGTTTTGCAATGAGGTTGGAGTTTTTTTTTTTTTTTTTTTTTTTTTTTTTTTTGAGGTAAAACAACTCTGGAGCTATTCTGATATAGTATTCTAAGTATCTGGTCTAGAAACTTTTAGATTTGATATTAAGGTTAATTTTCTTACCTGGGGAATAAGACCTAGATATCACTCGAT